CTTGCACACTTTGGACAGGAATGCAAAATGGTGCCGCTGCTTTGGAAAACAGTATGGAGGTTCTTCCAAAAATTCAAAATAGAATTACAATACGATCCAGCAATCCCACTTCTAGGCATTTACCCAAAAGAATTGAAATCAGCATTGTGAAGAGATATTAGCATCCCCATGTTCATTGCAGTACTATTCCCAGTAATCGAGATGTGGAACAACCTGAATGTCCATTGACAGGTGAATGGATAAAGAAAATGTGGTACACATGCATACATTAGAATAGTATTCAGCCTCAAAAAAGAAGGAAATTCTGCAGTATGCTACAACATGGATGAACCTTGGACATTATGCTAAGTGAAATGAGCCAGTCACAGAAAGACAAATACAGTACTGCATAATTCCAATTATATGAGGTATCTAAAATAGTCAAATTCATAGACTCAAAGAGTGAAATGGTGGTTGCAGGGGCTGAGGGGGGAGAGGAAATGGGGAATTACTAATCAAGGGCATAAGTTTCAGTAGAGCAAGATGAGTAAACTCTAGAAATCTGCTGTACATTGTACCTATATTCAACAATAATATATTGTACACTTAAAATCTGCTAACAGGACAGATATGTTGTGTTCTTACAAAAATAAAATAAAATTCAAACAAAATACAAAATGGCTGCAGCATTTTGCATTCCAACAAGAAATGTATAAGGGTTCCAGCTTTCTTTCTTTCTTTCTTTCTTTCTTTCTTTCTTTCTTTCTTTTCTTTCTCATCCTCATCAATACTTGGTATTGCTTGTTGATTACAGCCATTCTAGTAGTTGTGTAGTAGTATCTCATTGTGGAAATTTATTTGCATTTTCCCATGCTGGCCGTATTTCTTAAAATTTATTGTTTGTTTTTGTTTTAGAGAGAAGGAAGTGGGGGAGGAAGAGAGAGAGAGAAAGAGAGAGAAGAGAAGAGATAGAAGAGAAGAGAAGAGAAGAGAAGAGAAGAGAAGAGAAGAGAAGAGAAGAGAAGGGAAGAGAAATATCAATGTGGGAGAGAAACATCAATAGGTTGCTTCCCCCGGCACTGGGGATCAAACCCGAAACCTGGATATGTTCCATGACCAGGAATTGAAACCTGCCATATACAGGCAGACTCTCCAATTAACCAAGCCACACTGACCATGGCATGCTGGGTGTATTTTTGTGTGCTTATAGCCTATTCATATGTCTCTTTGGTAAAATGTCTACTCAAGTATTTTGCCCATTTTAAAAACATTATCTTTTTATTGTTGAGTTGTAGGAGTTCTCTAAATATTCTGTATACAAGCCCACTGTGGGATAGATGATTTGCAAATATTTTCTCCCTCCCCTCCAAAAATATATAAGCATATTTGAAATGTTGATAAATATTACCAAATTGCTCTCCAAAGAGGAAGCATCAATATATATTCCCACCAACAGTGTATGGGAATGCTGGTTCCACAGCATCCTCACAAACATGTGATGCCAATCTTTGTTAATCAAATAAATGAAAAATGGTATCACACTGTTTCTAATTTGTCTTCCTTTTATCACCAGGGGGAGCATCTCATTTACCAGTGCTTTTCCTCTTCTAAAGAAAAGTGTGTTTTGTTGAAACCTTGAATTTTTCAATTTTGCATCCCTTAATCCCTAATCATTATTAAGCATCTAAGGAGTGTTTGTTGAATGAATGAAGAGTAATGCTGTGCAGAATAAATCTATACTAATAAAAGGGTAATATGGTAATTAGACCAGATATCTTCTAGATAAAGCCACGGTGGCAGGGGCCCAGGCAGAGGTGGTTAGGGGTGATCAGGCTGGCAGCGGAGGGCAGTTAGGAGCAATCAGACCAGCAGGGGAGCAGTTAGGGGTGATCAGGCCGCCAGGGGAGCGGTTAGGGCAGCCGTGGGCAAACTACGGCCTGCGGGCCGGATCCAGCCCGTTTGAAATGAATAAAACTAAAAAAAAAAAAAAGACCATACCCTTTTTAATGATGTTTACTTTGAATTTATATTAGTTCACACAAACACTCCATCCATGCTTTTGTTCCGGCCCTCCGGTCCAGTTTAAGAACCCATTGTGGCCCTCGAGTCAAAAAGTTTGCCCACCCCTGGGTTAGGGGCATCAGGCCGGCAGGCAGAGGTGGTTAGGGGTGATCAGGCAGGCAGGCCAGCAGCTGTTAGCCAGTGGTCCCAGATTGTGAGAGGGATGTCCGGCAGTCAGACATTCGCCAAGGGGTCCCAGATTGGAGAGGGTGCAGGCCGCCCTGAGGGACCACCCCCCCCGCCCCGTGCATGGATTTCATGCACTGGGCCTCTAGTGAGATAATAACTCTAAAGTACTACTTAGTGATCAATTAATATCAGTTTAATCTATGTCTGGAGTCGGGAGGTGAGTGCTATAATGCTCTTGATTTCTTCCCCTTCACGATCCGGGATAATTACTGTGAACTCTAAGATTCCAAGAGACCTGGTTTTTCTGTGTCTTCTCACTGTGTGTTTTTGGGTAAGTCACTTAATTTCTTTGACCCTCCATTTCTCTGCAACACTCTGAACAGTGTGTACAGATTGCATTATGCTTATCGAAAAGGGCTAAAAGCATAAGATTAATTTACAATAAGCATATATTCCTGTATTACTTGAATAAAAAATAACTGTCAAAATGTTCTCTGTATCTATTTTTCCATTCTGCTTGCTTGTTTATTTTGTTTTTTGGGTTCCAGAAATAAATGAAATCATCTAGCCAAAAAACCAGTAACTGTGAAAATTTATAAGAATAGGGAGAATAAAACTACAGAGATAAGAACAGGACTAATAAAGGAAGCTGGCTGCCTTTGTAATGACCTTAAATTTCTTTTTAAAATATGTGATTTCATACTTGGCCCAGCCTCTTTTCCATCTTTTTTCCAACTCTCTATTGCCCTCTACTGTTTAGGTGTTCTCATTTCAATTTAGCAAATAGGATTAAGGGAAAGTACTATTTATGGCCTGTCCTTGACCTTTGTTACCTATATCACCCTCACCACACCTTGCTCTATTCTTGGCCTTGTGACCAGCACAAGGGACATGGAGCTCACAGTCTATGGGGGACACAGACTTTTAAGGCATTATATAGCCATTATGAGCATGACAAGAAATATTTCTGGAACTCTGCTAAGCACATTGCATACATGAACTTGTAGTCCTACTGACAGCCATGCAAGGGATCTGCATTTATAGAAGAGGAATCAGGGTCACAAATGTGATTGGTTCAGGTCACTATGGATTCTGACTAAGATCTGTCTGTCCTCCAAAGCCAGTCCTTTCCAGTACATTATAACAGAATAAACCAAATGGTGTGAAACACTGAGTGGGAACATCTAAACCTATTTTACAGAGGAGAGGATCTCTGATTTGGGCAGAGAAGGGTGGTCCACACATCAAGAGCAGCAGTAAACAGGGGCACAAACTTGGGACCTATTCAGAGAATAGAAGATTGGGTGGGGTGTGGAGGAACAGAGGCTAGAATCAGATTATACATGACCTTGCAGGCCAGGCTAAGGAAGGTGGGCTCAAAATCCAAGGTCAGGCCTTCCCTACCTGTGGCATGTATACTAAGAGATCTCCCAATGTGATCAGGGTTTGAGAAACCACAGGTAAATGTGGCATATCACCTGGAATTTCAATTTTACTCAAAGGCTCGAAGAAAAGGCAATCTTGTTTTCTTTTTATAAAAGATGTATTGTGGAATTGGATGTAAAATAATATGAATTTTTAAATAAAACTGGGATTTGAAAGACATTTTCCGGTTGCAGTAAGTTGCTTCCCAGTGAGGAAGTGTTTGGAAGTTGTACACTCTCTGATGCCATTAGGGGTAGGCTAATAGGGGAGTTATTGGGGAAGCATTGCTATAGGTGGTGGGAAACATGGCTTGAACTCCTCTGAGGGCTTTAGTCTAGGGCTGGCTGGGACTCAAAGATGAACAGGAACTGACTGTCTTTGGAGAGCTTTCAGTCTAGGCTTTATGAAGCTGATGATTCTGAGCAGAACAAAAAAAAAAGTTCCTTTCCTCTTCCCCATCTCCTTGACACATTCCTCTTGTAACTCATCCATTCTTTTACTTAAAAAATATTTACTCTACAACAACTCTCTCACTTCTTGTGTGACCTAGGACAAGTTACTTAACCTTTATGTACCTCAGTTTCTTCATCTGCAGAATGGGAATAGAATAATACCTACCCCATAATGTCACAAGGAGTGTCATAGTGAGAATTAAATGAGAATTTGTATAACGCTCTTAGAATAGAATCTGGAACAAAGTTCAACCTTGTTTAAACATTAGCTATCACAACAATATTATTTGTACAACTTCTACAGCTATTGTGTTCCAGTCATCACCCGGCACAGCCTTTTGTCATTCACTTTGGGAGCAGGGGGTGAATCTGGGAGGAATATACTAGTAGAGATAAACCAGATTTCTTATTGCAATTGTACAGACTTATATATAGGAGGTGCTCAAATTGCTTGTTGAATGAATAAATAAATGTCTTCCTACTAAACTGCAAGCTATTTAAAAGCAAGGACCATTTTTCCTAGCTGTTGAATTACTAGAAGGAAGCACTTGGTGAGGCACACAGTAGGCCCTTAGAGATTACAGAACTAATGAATGTATGGGGGGACTACAGGCGGAAAGTCACTTAAGGCCACAAAGCTGGCACAGATAAAGTGCTGCAGAAAGACTGCCATCAGTTTTGGAAATGGGAGGACCAGAGGAAAAGATTTGGCCGCCAAAGACTAACAGCGCGAGGACTGCGGACAAGCCCAGTTTGCGGCGCCAGGATGTAGCGAATGAGCTGAGCAG